AACTATTGTGCAAGTTCTTAGCTGTTTCGCTATCTGATTTACTTCATAAAAAAATCAAGTTAGCAAAGGTAAAGTGAACACTGAGAGTGAGCCTATATAAGTTTGATTATACCAAACTAGCTAGGTAACATACTACGAGAAAACTTAAAGGCCAAGATGCATTAGTTTTTAATAAACTCATGCATCCATCTAAAGGGGAATATCATCTAGTGGCCCATCTACAGATAGTTCAGTATGGAAAGACACTTTATAAGCTAAGGAACGCAACAAACACTGGCAAGATACATACAATAGTAAAATTAGGATTCTAACACCTACTTGTATAGTGTTGACAATTTTTGGATTTTGTTAGCTCTTTGATCCTAGCTTAGTACTCATGTAAGGGAACTAACTCTCTTTCTTTGTACACTTTTTCCTTTAGCGTCACCCTGATGCTCTTTAATGAAATCCTTTACATCATAAAAAAAATCTACTTATATGATATAGCATTTAAGAGTTAAACCGAAAGGTCAAATATAGTAGATCTAACTTCTAAGGTTTTCAAAAAGTCCAATATGATTGAAAAGTTACCTCCAATTGTTGTTCATTAAAGATCAACACCTCTTTTTAATAGTAACAGGCTGTTTGATAACAATGTTTCAATCTAGAATTAAGTATCCCCATGAACCAATCGAGGAGTATAATATACAGGTTTCTATCAAGAAAATCTCTATTTGTTCCAAATAATTAGACTTAAAAAAAGATCTATTTGTTACAAGCAGTTGGACTATAAATCCAAGTCTATTCACTTCTTTTCACAGAGCAGTGGTATCTACACACAGCTCCACTATTTCACCGAGTATCCACGTCCTTCCAACACAAGTATAGATATCGAGTAACTCCATCCATCACTCCTTACGCAGATAAAGAGAAACCTAAGTCCTTTCATTTGGAGGAGGAAGATAAAACTTGCACAGTGATAGAATTAGTTTAGAAGTTTAAGTTCAGAAAGTTAGTTAGAAGTTTAAGTTTGTTAAAAGTTTGTTAACACTGTTCAAGTAGTTGGTTATGTTCTCTTCTGTGTTTTCACGCGTGTATATATATACATTGCAAATGTAAAGGTTATTCATCTTTCTCAGTGAGAAATACAATCAATACTTTTCACATGATTCCTCCTTCTAGAAAGATCTATCTCGTCTAACATTCCTCTTTCTCTTCTCACTGATCTTAGCCTCCATCAATGGAGGAGCTTCACTCATCTCGACACTTTGATTTGCAGATTCAACACACGGTACGATCAACACCTGTAGTTTCATCCTACTAGATAGAGCTAAATTTTCTAATCTCTTACAAATTAGCTTTTAACCTCAATAGACAACAGAAGATGTTTTTGCGTCTTGCATTTGTATGTCCGAGCTCACACTAAATCAAGTAAACTTAGGTCCATCGCCTCTACTTGACAAAGGCACATCAATTGATTCCAGAAATCAAAGTGAACAAAAATATCAGAAAATATACTAATGAACACGGCAAATACTAGCATTCGATTGCTTCCGTGAATTCTAAATTGTAAATCAAGCAACATCAACCGCTAAGTTACATTATTCATCAGAAATTAGCTAGAACTGAAAGCAAACCCGATACATACTTGAATCAAACTGAACAGTTGAAAATAGCAAATAAGAGTGAAGCTGCGTTTACCTGTAAATCGGATCTGCTTCGCCAGCACTGGCATGAAGGAGTCCAAAAATAGAAGAAAGCGCAGCAACGAATAGAAGCAAACGACACCGTGCCATTGTAGAAAAGTCAAAATTTAAAAGAATTTGCTACAGAAACAATAGATGAAAGTGAAATTTTGCGTACTGAGTTGACTGATTGAACACTTCCATCAATATCTCTGTTTATACACAGATTGATACAACAGTGATGAAGGCATGAGTTAATTTGACTGTAAGCATGTGGAATAGATGAACGACGTGGTTAACAACATTAGTCGAGGGGATTTGGGGATGTGTTACGGAACAGAGCACTCCCAAATGACGTTTCACGATAAGACACGTCACACGTGGAGTATCTTTGTCTTTTTACGTATTTGCCCTCCATCTAATTCTACAGACCTTTTTATTTTATTTCTTAATTTTTATTATGGTTTTCATACTTAGCCTTAAAATCAACACTTTTGATTAAGGAGATATACTCTCATTTAATGTATCATATTTTTTGTGAGATAAATTTTATAAATTTGGAAAAAGTAATTAAGGATGATAACAGAAAAAAGGTAATACATGTCTTAATTATTGAATAGATGCAACAATTCAACAAGGGCAGATCCATCCTATGTTAAGGGGTGTGGACCGACACGACTTCATTAAATTTTTTGAATATTATATATATAAGAATCTTTAAAAAAATAATCAGAATATAGGTAAAATGATATCAATGGCATTATTTGAACAAGTGAACTTTTTTGGCTTGTTAGTTCTTCACAAATAGAGCACTGATATACTCTCAAGTGTGGCCAAGTTCATCCTGTACAACAAAAATTGTGTACACTGGTGACAATTAAAATCAATGTTGCAGCACCTGAGCGCATGAATCCTCTTCGTTTTAGCTCATTTTCTTCTTAATTTTACTTCTTCTTCTTTTATAAAAATCCTTCTAAATCTCAAAATATCTAAAACAAACACAATTCAAAAAACTAATACTTGACTCATCAAAAAAGACAACAAAAATTAACTAAAAATAAGAGGTGAGTTGGTAAAAATATCAATAATCATCACCTTGATTATAATCTCAATTTTATCATATAGTAACGTGTAAATCCTCATTATAATTCGTAGATTTCTAGGAGTTTGATTTGAGATCGATATTGAAGAAGAATTTTTTGAGGATTCTTTGTGAAAGTTATCGTTGAATGTTGTTAAGCACGTTAAGGCATTTTAGTGGGACTTGAGGTATGTTTCTTTTCAAACATACTTTTGACTATAAGAGAGTTTCCAATACGGTTTTAAGCGTGTATGAGACAAATTTGCAATCGAGTCTTCATATTTCACTCATTTTATAATATGTGTATGAAATGTATTTTCTTCATTAATGAAATTTGTTGAGTTGAATTTAGAGCTACGAACAATCTACTGATTTAAAATGTGATCTAAGGGGTGTCTCGATTGACTTTTTTAAAATTACTTATAAGTTAAAAGTCAAAAGTCATAAGTTGGGAACACTCAACTTTTGACTTTTGGCCTTTTTTAATACTTTTTTAGCCTTAAAATGTTTTAAGCAATTTTTGAGTTACCCAAACACTTTCATAACTAAAGAACTTAAAAGTCAAAAATCACTAAAAATATGTTAATCCAAACACCCACTTAATGAATTTAAACATGATTTCTAATATGAATAATAATTTGATATATCTTTAAATAATGAGAAGATTGATTAAAAATGCTTTGAATAATTATGCTATGATTAATGATTTGGCTAAAGTGTCGTGATTGAAACTATTTGTGTTTTGGGTTTGTATGGACAAATATTCGAGTGGAAGAATAATATTCAAGGATTGAATTGATGATCCTGATGAATTGCTCTTGGATCGACATTGTTATTTGGGAGGAAGAATACTTCGAGTGTTGGTAGCCTCAATGAATTGCTCTTGAATTCATTAATCTGTTTTAAAGTATCATACATTAAACTTTAACTTACCCTTGAGTTGGCTTGATTGGTTTGATTTGCTCATGAATTTAGGTGTGTTCTTTGATTACTTACCTTCATATTAGGTATGATAATGACATAATTGACTTGACTTTTGACTACTAATTGTCATATACGATTATTAAGTATAATGAACAAAAAATGATTGTTTTTTCATTGATTCTTTTTCTAAGTTACGTGATTTTACTATGTGACTGAATTTGAATTGTTTCATTATAACTATTTTATATTAAAAAATATTGTTTTGTTAGTATATTAGCATTATTACTGTGACTATTTTGTTTATATGAACTTTTGTTCCAAGACATTTATTGAGTACCCAATATTCAGTATATCATCATTTTTATGGTATGTTAAGTAGAAAATGTCACATCGCTTATGAAAAACTTGTTATTCAAACAGACTATTGGTGAGCTACATTTTTGCTTGTGAAACTTCATACTCTCTTTTTTGCTTTATTAGATTTTTGAGTTGCGCCTCAAATTAGTTATTCTTTTCGTAGAGACTTCCTAGATAAATAGTGTCGTTGGTATTACGTAAGTCATTATTTGCCTTATAGGTAGATTGCTATGTTTAGCTGCTAGACAAATATTCACATTATTTATTTAGAAAATACAAAATAATTAAATAGGACATAACAAATAATCGAAAAAACAACACATAACATTTAGAAACAAGAAACAATTGCAACAACGTAATCAAATAATGTAATAACTGATAGTAATAAAAATCGTATGACAATAAAATACAAAAACACTACTATTGCTATTACTATTGATATGAATGGAGAAATATGTGTGGTGCACCAAACTATCATCAAACATATCCCGCAAGAGAAAGTAGACTTTGTTAACCCCAAACACGTTATAAAATATAGCTTTCAAATGTCCAAATTTAAGGTTTTGGCTGAACGGTAGACTTTGTTACCTAAATGATTAAGGAATTGTTTGTTAGATGGTTTGAAGGTGACTCATGTATTAAATTTTGCTTTATAATATTATATTGGCGAAATGGTCTGCTGGATCCTTATACTTGTATCAGTTTGTATTCTGAACCCTTCTACTTACACAATTGTCATCTGGACCCTTAAATTCAATAAAACACAATTTAACAAATCCATTTGATCATTGACCAAGCTTATGTGTCTTTAAGATGGCTGAGTTGGCAAAAGTGTGTGACTTCACGCATCTTAAGGCGAGTGAACAACTTTTTTAAGTTGAAAAAATATTAAAATTATAAAAGAAATACTTTTTAAAAAAAACAATTAATTAAAAAGCTATTTCTTCTTCCAAGCTTAATTGTTTTCCAATCTCCATCGCCGTCTGAGTAGTAACCTCAAAGGGCCAGCAGCCATGGCAAGAATAAAGGTTCATGAGTTGAGGAACAAGTCGAAGACAGACCTTTTGGCTCAGTTGAAGGATCTGAAGGCGGAGCTTGCTCTTCTCCATGTTGCAAAGGTCACCAGTGGTGCTCCTAACAAGCTATCCAAAATCAAGGTGGTAAGGTTGTCAATTGCACAAGTTTTGACTGTCATCTCACGGAAGCAAAAGTCAGCTCTTAGAGAAGTTTACAAGAACAAGAAGTACTTGCCTCTTACGAAAAGTTTGGCTAGATCTGGTTGTGCGGTGGCCAGATCTAATTGTGCGGTGGCTTAGGTTGCTGTTACTGTGGAGGTTGAAGGAGGAAAGAAAAATAGTGATGGTATGTGACGGAGATGAAGACGGGTGAGGGAGAAAGTTGCACAAGTGAGATTCTTGATGAAATCTTGAGAGTCTCCATTGATGTTGGAGTTTTTGGGGGTAAAAATTTGCAGAGGCAAGAGGTTTGCTTCAGTCCATGTATGGAGGTGTAACGAGCAAGTTCGTCCATTTATCCACAATTCTCGAATTCTTGGTGTTTACAACAACAAAGGCCGTATTTTTGCTTTTACTCTTACATGTAAGCTCAATACAGTAAAAGGGAATAAACCCAGCAAGGAAAAGAGACCAATTTCAGTTCTAGGTTCTGATGGTGTGGCGCCACCAGTTGTTGAATTGGAAGAAGGGTCTGTAGGAAATGGTGGAAGGAAGGTGGAGGAGACGAAGAATGGTGTTGTTGGTTTTGGGATTGTGAAGAAATTGCCTAGAAAAGTTTTGGGGATTTTGTCCAATTTGCCTGTCTATTGCTGAGATGTTTGCTATTGCTGCCTTACTGGCCTCAGGAACTTTCATTGACCAAGGCAAGGCTCCAGATTACTACTTAAAGGAGAAAATATATGTGATTCGCCGGCAAAAATGGTGACGCCGGTGATGGCTTTTTTTTGGTAGTGAAATAGTGAAAATAGGGAGAATTATAAATGTCAATAATAAATTAAAATGTTATTATTTTATATTTTATTAAATAATTTTGGTTAATATTTTTTTTTAAATAGTTATGAAATAATTATGATGTGCCATTAATATATGTGACGTGGATATGACATGTCAATTATATAAAGGAGAGTGAGCTACACACATGGTTGGAGAGACTTAAAAGTCTTATTTTATTTGAGTTTAAGGGTCCATATGACAAATGTGTAAGTAGAAGGGTTCAGAATACAAAGTGATACAAGTATAAGGGTCTACCAGACCATTTCGCCTATTATATTTAGTAGCTAGTTAGGAGATACATTATTCATATATAAAATCAATATTATGTTTCAGCAAAAATTTAGAGATCCACATAACTAATGTATATACTTTCTCCGTTCCTTTTTATATGTCATCCTTTTAGATTTCACTTGCATTAAGAAATTGAGTAAGTTTATAATTCTACACTTAATTACTGTTTTTTTGAAGTCAATTTTTCAATACTAAATGATAAATATTCTATATTTAAAAATTGAAATGCATTTGGATGACTATCTAAATTTTTGAGTTTGTTTTTTGAGTCAAAATTTTTCAGTACGAATTGATCCAAAATTTGATATTTTTTTTAATAAATTTTCCTTCTCAATTTTCCTATATATTTTGTGTATTTTTTTTTTATAAATTCTTAAAGCAAACATGACAACATCACAAAATATTCAAATTCTATTACTTCAAATTGATCTAAATATTTCAGTTGAATCCGATGTTATTGATAATGAAATTAAACTAGAAATTTCTGATCTTAATATAGTTGCAAATATGACTACCGACGTCTTCCTTGATAAAATTTGTTGAAGCTTCAACTTTCAAGATTATTTTTAATTTTTTTTCCATCTTTTATTTTTAATTTGTTTGTTGAGATTTCTTTTTCAAAATCAGATTTTATAGAGTAGTGCAATGGTGAGAGTAATTAATCAATGTACGAAGTAATTACAATGATCATTAATTACTTATTGGTTTTCTTAGGTTAGTTAAATATCTATTTTCAAAACTTATTAACTATCAAGGATATAATATGAAGAATATTGTAATTTATGTATTGATTTTATGAAATGACTAATATTATGAACCAACTATTTATAGTAAGTATGACATATATTGTAATTAACTAATATATATATATATAAAGAGAATCCTAGGCCCGCCTACGTGGCGCCACCACAAACAAGGATTCCCTTTTAATTTATTTATTTCCAAAATTAGTCTTCCCCTTTCATGAAATGTTGCGACTTTTATATATGAAAAGTTGCGACTTTTATGAAAGGTTGTAACATTTATGAAAGGTTGTGACCTTTTCGAAGAGTTGTGACTTTTCCAAAGAATTGTGACATTTCCGGTAAGACACAATAATCATTTGTTCACACTACCATTTGTTGTCTATAAATAGATGGGTTTCCTCTCATTTTAAAACAACGAAAATTCTGAACTTCGTCTACACAATTAAATATTTGTGTATTTTGCTCCTGTTGAGTGGCTCACTGACACTATTATTTTTGTATCATTACACTGGTGAATAAAATCGTTTCATCCTGAGAGGATCTATTTCTTTAAAGGGATAATGCATAAGTACCCCCTAGACTATGACCGAAATCCTAGAGACACACCTAAACTTAACTAGGGTCCAATTACCCCCCTAAACTAATTTAAAATGGAATAAGTACACCACAGACGCTAATATGACATAGAGAGTGTGCACACTCTCTTGAAGGCAAGTGGTGAGTGCACAAATTGGGCACTTGTCATTTTTTTATTGGTAACTTTATAATTAGGTAGTACACATATTTATTGACAATAAAACTTATATATATTTAATTATTTTTATTTCTTTCTTCGTAAAATATTTATTTTAATTTCTTTTCACTTTAAACTTTTTTCTAATTAATTTATTATCTTTTCACTTTTAATTATTTTTTAAAAAATATGTGTATTTTAAAAAAAATAAAAAATTAAAAGTATCCTTTAATTTTAACGTTTTAATTTTTTTATGTTTTATTTGATTTTCTTCACTTATTTTGATATCCGTTCAAAAATAACTTATTTTAAATATAAGACATTTAAAATCAAATTAAAACGAAAGACAAAGAAAATAAAATCAATAGAAAAATAAAAGAGAAAAAACAATGAATGTAGGTAAAAAGAAGAAGTTTTGATACAAGGTAAAAAAAATGTGTATTAATTAATTTAAATACAAGATTAAAAAAATAAGATTATTTTTTAAAAAAATTGAAAATTTTATTTAAAAAAAAAAAAGAATTAAGAAAAAAATATGATTTAAAAAAAAGAATTAAGAAAAAAATATGATTTTTTTAAAAAAAAGAATTTTTCATTAAAAAAATAAAATTTACACACGTGGCGGGCGAGTGTGTACAAACACAACCAACTTGGGTGGTTGAAGGTGCCACATCAGCACAAAAGGTGCACAAAAATACGAAAAAAATGAGTTCAGGGGTAATAAGATCTTAGTTAAGTTTATGTGTGTCTCTGGGATTTCGGTCATAGTCTAGGAGGTACTTATGCCTTATCCTTTCTTTAAACCTCGGGTACTAGAGGGGAATGATTTCCTTAAGGAGACACTGTGCATTTAGTGGGCTCGATTTTTCCTTTCTGTGTCATTCTATTGTTACAGATCCTAGTATGTCTTTTTACTATCATTAATTTATGCTTATGATATTAATTGTTGTTTTTGAGTACATGTTTAAACTTTGTTGTTTATGTTTCGGTAAAATTATTGTTATAAGTATTTGTTAGTACAGACTCTATGTAAATCCAACTATTGCAGATTCACAATTAACTTTTTGCAGAATACATTTATTTACAACATTCTCCAAAGAATTTTTTTCTTCTCTAAGAGATCAAGCCTAAAATTTATATGATTTTTTGTTGTTGTCGTAATAATGTTAATATTAACAGGAGTAAAAAAATAAAATAGAAAGTCAAATGATAGAATTAAAACTAGCAATTAATTACAATTATATAATACACAATAAAATTTGGAATTTGGTAGGTTGCATTTTAATTTTAAAACACATAATGACTACATATTACTTATTGGTATATCATATGATTATGGAACCTTTGCTCTTGATAAACACGTTAGTTATATATTTAATATTTTGAAAGTAATTGATAGTGTTATACTAACGAACGTTGCAAAGAAGAAAATTGAGAAAAATATTTATTTGACTCTCTAATTAAAGATAATATGTAACCATGCATATAGATGATAACAATAAACTAAACATCATAAAATTTCAAAAGCAAATTAATGAATTTGTAAAATGAAATTATGTAAACTAGATGAAAATAGTGTTATAATATGTAATTTTGCCTTTTCTTTTAATAAAACAAATGGTAAACTACAATTGAATAACTTCTATACTCATAATTTTTTTTTTTATATAAAAATAATATAACATCAAAATACAAGAAAAGTTCTATTCTAATAAATTTTAAAGAAGAATGTTCTACCTTCGTGAAGCCCGGATCCATTAACTAGTTGTAAAAGGAAAAAAACACAAGACGACAAATTGGCATTTGGGGACTCCGGATAAAGAGAAGGCATGTGTCTTCCCTCTTCTCCTGGCCATTTATGCACACTATGTATAAATCAAAAATCTAAAAGAAACTCAATTTTCAAAAGAACTTGTTAAAAATACTACATGGCTACTGTACCCAACACCTTCTGTCTCCCCCTCACCCCCTTCCCTATACAACGCCGGCGCAACCACCGGCTGCTACTCCACCGTTCCAATGGACCTCCTCAGTTCTCCATCTCAACATCACAACTATTTCGTCCACAATTTGTTAATTGCCGGAAACTGAAGCGGTCCGTCATATCTTCGGCTTATATTACAGGCCCTGCTTTTGATGCTTTTGTTTCAGAAAACGACCCTAAATTTGAAGAATCAGATGATAGTTTAGTCGCGGTTCAGCCAATTGAAGTTATCCGTTGGGGCTTTATATGGAAACTTGTTTCTCGGCACAAGTTGAAGCTCCTTGCTTCTGTTTTCTCTCTTGTCATCTGCACTACTTGTTCTCTTTCCCTGCCTTTACTTTCCGGTATGCATTTTTTTATTTTGTTTTGAGAAATATATGATATACTCTACAACTCCATAAATGCCCTTTTACTTGTCACGTTTCACTTGAGTCAATTTGACTAATGTTTGGATCTAAATTAGCGTAGATTAATTTGATATTTAATTTAAAATTTAAATGTTCAAACTATTAGTTGCAATTCTCTCATTTTAATACGATGAATGTTGGCCAAA